TGGAAGGGAAAGGAGGGGTGTGTCATATAGTCTGAAGGTAGCTGACCTGGCTCACTGTGGGGTGGGGGGCAGTGGTGGAGCAGGGTCACAGGTTATTAAATATTGTACCACATATTTTTGCTTCAAAGTTTGTTTTTACTCCTCTAAAACCTAGGTGTGTCTTATGGTCTGGTGTGTCTTATAGTCCTAAAAATACAGTATGTGTCTGTTTTAATGCCATTACCATGATGTTTTGATTACTATGGCCGAGTAGTGTAGTTTGATATTAGGTACTATGATTCCTCCAACTTTGTTCTTCTTTCTCGGGATCACTGCCATAGTGTTGTTTTTTTTTTTAATCTTAAATATAGACTTGTTTTTTTGATCTAGAAATCTCACTTTTAAGAATTTGTCCTATGAAAATAAACTGTCATTTGTGCAAGGCTTTATTTGCAAGGATTTTCATTTACTTATTGTTCATAAAATTAAAAATAAAGGACAATATAAATGTTTAGTGGTGTATCGATTTAAAATTATGATATGTCATATTATAAAATATGTATCTATTAAATAATATTTACATAAAAATGTGCTTATTGTCATGGGCAAGGTTTATTGCATGTTGATAAGTTGAGTACATGTTGTAGAAGTTGTGAACACTATACACACCATTTTGGAAAAGTGTAGAAGCAAACGAACCACCAAGGTTGATTCTGGTTTATTCTGGTGTCAGGATTATGGATAATATTTCCTTTTTTCACTTAGCCTGTTGTCATTTTACAAATAAAATATGTAATCAAATGATTTCTAACAGAGAATGACAAAATTCAAAAATTGAAAAGGCAATATATAAAGGAATAACTATTCAAAAAAAATAAGAGAGGATCCCAAAGACGGATTTCCCCTGTGACTACATGTCCAATAGGCTACATCAGTGATGAAGAGCATTCCTCGGCCTTCGCCAAGTGGAGACTGTACTCAACGGGACCGCGGGGGAAGAGGAGAGCCCGAGCATTCTTTGGGAAAGACTGCCTGCAAGTGCTGTTTTTAAAGTCTTCGTAACGGTCATGAAAGATCTCGGGAGGCAAAGGCTAAATAAATTACAGCTACGGAAATAAATCAGCAGGAAGAATGTGTGATCTGGGTACTGTTACAGGTATGATAAACCAACTCAGCAGCGAAGTCCTGGTTTTCAGATGCAGCCACGTAACTGCTACTGGGAGATCCTTCGGGAGTGTTGCTGAACTGGCTGTTTTGTTTTATTATTTGCTCTTCATTTCTTCTAAGAATATTTAGGCTAAAATTGGACTTCCTGTTGTTATACTTCTTTAAGGAACAAAAATAAATGCTAGCATAATGGGATCAAAACGTGGTTCTCTCTCATTGTCATGCGGTCAAGATCAATTATAATGAGCAAAGAAACAACTCGCTGTGATAGAAAAAAACATGTGGCTCCAAGTAGGCCTAAGGGTGGCCTTTCCCTTCCACAACATGTGCACGGCACGTGCACAGTGCGTACAGCAAGCCTCTGAGGGTCCCTCAGAGCACGCCACACTTGGGCCTTTGTCCACTGTGTTTGCCTTTTACTCGGTGCCTCGATCTACACCAAATATAGAGAAATCTGCATGACTGGTTATCTGCTATTTGAATATGCTATTAATGAGGCGTCTTAGACTGGGCTCCCTAGGAAAGGGACTCTGAGACTGGGACTCGTGCACAGGACGTCTGTTGTGTGTGGAGAGTCCCTCGGGGGGTGGGGGGAGCAGACCCAGGGTGGAAGTCTGGGCTCAGCTGCCCTCACGGGAGCTCAGGAGGTGGGACGGCTCTCGCAAGTTGTCTTGTGTTGAGGCAAGGGAGCTGGATCTTTGTACTCACCCTGCCCTGCTTTGTGAGCATCTCTCACCCCCCCATGGAAAGGACACCGAAACCGGAGGAGTCCTTCGGAGGACTCAGCCGTAAACTCAGCAGCCAGCACTCCAGGCCCTGGGGGTGTGAGGGTCTCCCACCTGCAGGGGGACCTGGGCCGAGTGCTGTAGCCTGAATGTCTGTGCGGCCCCCATGCCCATGCACTGAAATCCTAATTCCTGACAAGATGGCACCTGGATAAGAGATATTTTTGAGAGGCAGGTTTAGAGGAGGTCATGAGGGTAGAGCCCCTATGACGAGATTAGTGCCCTTTTGAGAAGACAGAGAGACCCAGGAGAGTTCTGTGTGTGCACAAGTACACTAGGGGCAGTGAGGACACAGCGGGATGAAGGCCCTCACCAGACCCCGGCCCTGCAGGTGCCCTGCCCTCAGGCCTCCAGCCTCCAGTACTGGGAGAAGTGAATGTTTCTTGTTTAAGCCATTCAGTGCCTGTAATTTCTTTTGGCAGCCCAAGCTTTCTAAGACGCCGAGCATCGCAGCAAACACTACAAGCAGCAACACTGGGTCATTTCCAAAGTCTGTCCTACTCAGGGCAGACGCTCGAGAGACAGATGAGTAGTTGAAGGTAGAATTCTTAAGACAGAAGTTCTGCACTTTTACCAAAAAATATGTTTCTCTAACTTTTAGAGTGGTAAAGTAGAAAAAATGATTACCGTCCACCTCCTGCCTTGTTGCTAGTCTACAATGTGGAGGACATTATTTTATTAATAATGATGTCAATTCAGTACTCAAGAGAAAAAGTTAGGTTCCTTTCATTTTCTTGTGTTTCTGCCACTGCAAGGGTCTGTCCTTTCACACCAAGTCCCACTGTTACCAGGACTCAGTGCAAAGGCAGGTCAGTGAAAGTCCCCAGGAACCCCGACTTTGCCTCCGCCTGCTGGCTGCCCATTAGGCTCAGTCACTGAAGAGCCTCTAGCGATACTCAAGTCACACGCGGTTACGTTTCAGAGAGTCACCAGGTAGGCACAAGAGGGGTTCTCAGATCTACACGTGGTCAGTCTTGGTGCCAGCACTGGCTCTGAGGCCACTCAGCCAATGGACCAGGGTACACCAAGTCTAGCTGCCACCTGCCGGGTGCTCAACACACCTTTGTGGTGTGGTCCGTCCAGACCTCGGCAGGGAGGAGCCACCAAGAGTCAAGATGGTGGGTTGGCTGGGAGCCTGAGTCTGCCCAGGTCGCTGACTCCTCAGCAGGGTGGAAGCTCCCCAGGGTGAGATGTTGGGGAGTCCAGAGGGTGGGACTCTTGCTTTCCCCCAGGCCAATGACACAGGAGGGGCACGTTCCACCCAAGAAAGACAGTGTCTGCAGTATGGTAGAGTGACTCAGCACAGGGGGTGCCGGTGGCCGTCCCCTCGGCTCTGTCTTTAGAGCCACAAACTCCAGTCTCTCCCCACACAGCTCTAGTCTGCTCCATCCTCCCTCTGACGGGCCCAGGATGAGCAGCTGCAGATGAGATGCTGTTCACTGGCCCTTTAAGGGGGTGCCTGTGTTTTTGGCCATCTCTCCCTGGCAGACAGAAAGCCTGCTGCTTTCCACAGCCAGATGTTATGTGGGCATCTCTTCCCGGCTCTGGTGCTCTGGGTCGGGGAGTCCAGCTTGGGCTTCAGACGCCATGCTTGTCGGGGGGAGCCCCCAGCAGCTGAGGTAACCCCCTGGAACCTCGGCTGTTGCCCAGGGGAGTGGGCCAGCCCTTTCCCATCAGTCTCTGCCCTTCCGATCAGTCTTGCTATGGTTTCTTCTCTAACTCCTTGGTATTAAGACTTCCTGTCAGCTAATCTTCAGTTAGCTATTTAGGTCTATTTTTCTATATATATATTTTTAATTTTTAACTTTTTTTAGGAGTTTTATTTTTTTAAATATTCATTTATTTTTAGAGAGAGGGGACGGGAAGGAGAAAGAGTGGGAAGGAAACATCAATGTGTGGTTGCCTCTTGTGCGTCCCCTACTGGGGAACTGGCCTGCAACCCAGGCATGTGCCCTGACTGGGAATCGAACTGGCAACTCTTTGCTTCACAGGCCCGTGCTCAATCCACTGAGCTACACCAGCCAGGGCTAATTTTTAACTTTTAATTTTGATTTTAGAGAGAAGGGAATGAAAAGAGAAAGAGAGGTAGAGAAACATCAATGTGAGAGAGAAGCATTGACGGGCTGCCTTCTGTGCGCAGCCCAGTAGGGGACCCAGGTGTGTGTCCTGACTGGGGACTGAAGGTCCGTATTTTAGTTGTAAATCCAGTTTGGTCCTGGGAGGATGGGAGTGTAGCTCCCACCTGCTCCACCACCACCTTGGGTCCACAGAGTATTTTCTATCATTTTAATCCATTGCTTAAAATGTAGGAACAAAATTCTCTCCCCACAAAATTTGTAATAACACAAATACATTTTCCCTTTATATTTAATTTGTGCAGCAGGAAAATAAAGATGGAAGTTTATTTGAGGGTTTTATCAATTTTACCAGGGTCTCTCAATCCTTTAAGTTGAACACATGGGGAATTGAACTCATCTTTGGGGAAACTCTCTCCAGGGTCCAAAACAGAACCCTGGATTCCTGGCTTTCCCTGCCTGTGCCCCCTCGGCCCCACCCTTTCTCCTCCAGTTGCTCAAGTCAAATATCAGGAGTGATCCTTGACTTCTTTTTCTTCTCCTCTCACACACTCCATCCAAACCATCAACAAGTGCAGTTGGCCGTCCACCCCCAAACCAACTTCCCATCAGCAGCTCCACTGCTGCCGCCGCTCAGTGACGCCAGCTCTTGCTGGAAGCACTTCAGTAGCTTCCTAAGTGGTCTCCCAGCCCTACTGTTCTGTCCCTACACTCTTCACAGAGCAGCCAGAGTGAGTTTCAAACATCTTTGGATTGGGCACTACATTTGCGCGACCCGAAGTTTAACAGGCTATAGAGATAACGTGCCCAGAGCAGTCCCGCCCCAACCTTGGCATTCCTCCCTCTCCCCCATCTCCTAAGGTCGAGCACTCCCTTCCGGGATGCTGAAGGCAGACACAAGCACGAACAACTATACCCCCACCTTATCACACACCAGGTGGCCTGCCATACACACTGCTCCACACCATTCCGCGTCAGCGCTGGTTTCACTTACCGGTAAGTCCCAGAGTTCTTCCCAAGTCAGCACAGGGAGACCTTCCTCCTTCATTTGTCCAGCTGTGCATCATGCCGTTGTCCGTGGAACCAGGTCCCTGGTGCTGAACATCACAGCTGGGCCCATTTTTCGTTCTTGCAAACAATGCAACAGTAAACAACCTCATAGAGATGGAGCTGCCTCTGGGATGGAGTCACAGAAACACAGTGACAAGATCGCATGTTCTAGTGTATTTTCCGGTTCAAAGTAACAAGTGCAGAGAGAAATCTGATTGTCCCTTCCTCTGCATAAAGGCCTTCCAAAATCCCAAATCCCAAATCCCCGTCCCCCGTCCCCCTCATGGAAGGAAAACCACCGAGACCCACAGGGCCCTCCCTCATCTGTCCTTCGTCCTCCTCTTCAGCGTTACCCCGTCTCTCCCTCTCTTTCACTGTGGACTAAGCACACCGGCCTTTCATAAATCTCAGAAAAGTTATCTTTTGCAGGATGTATGATTTTACTTTGTACAATAGCTTGTTTGCATTGCAATGTACTGCATTGTCGAATATGTATGAAAATCCGGTCATCAGCTAGAGACCTGACAAAGAAGTTGATTTTGGAAGGGGAGAATCTATGCTAATGTGGAATGGAGATGGAATATCTGAATGGGTTTTATCATCAGTTGTTTGATAAGTAAGCATTTATATGTGATGATACCTCTCACTCTCCTATACAACCTCAGATACCAGGGATTAGGAGAATGCATGTTGAGATAATGAGGATGTTCTGTCATTCTGTAGCTGTGTGACCACGAACCCCGCACATAAAGATAAATGCCTGATGTTAGGTGAAACGCAGCACGGTTGGGAAAGAGCGCTGGGCTGGAAATTAGGAGTGCTGTGTTCCATTGTGGCCTTGGCCACTAAGTAAGCTGTGAGGGGTCGGGCAGGCTGCTTGACCTTTCCTCGCCTCCTTTTATTTGTATGAAAAGAAATAAGAAGGAATTCATTGTTATTCTCAGCCTTTTCACTACCCAAGGATTGCTTTTACTAAACCCCTCCATGTTCATAATATGTTGAGAAATTTTGTCTACTAACAATTGTAACTTACATTACCATGTTCATTGTTCATATGTTCATTGTTAACTTATCAATAAATACAGAGTTTCCCATTCTGGTTAGCACGAACTAAGTAATTGACATTGGATGAATGATGTAATTCCATCCAGAGAAAAGTGACGTCTTATTTTAATTTGCCTGCGGGGCTTTACCCTCTTTAATGAAGAGGCTATAGGCTGGGAATCTCGGGTCCCAAACAATCAGCTATGTTTCCTTCCAAGTCTGGGAGTCAGTGTCATGTATACAGCTGTGTGGTACGGTGGTTTTCAGACGGCACCTCACACCGTCCCGGGGCTCAGCAGAATGGCTCCCAGCAGAAATGAGGCTGGGACAGAGGAGGTGAAGCAAGCTGTCTGAGCACTCCCAAACCTGTTTTACCTACACCAGCCCCACATTCTTCTGTTTGATATATTGGGTTCTGCCTAAGACTTTGTTTGAAAAAGGGTTTCAACTACTGAAAATAATTGGAAAAATATCACAATCAAACTGAATTGCATAGATGAGGATAACGAGGCCTAGAAGAGTTTGGTGAAATTTGCCCAAGGATACAGAGCTAATCAATGGCAATATATTTACTTAGTCAATCAACAAATATCTATTAAACACTGTGGAAATAAAAGTTATAAATCTAAAACTTTGATTCAGCCTTAGTCTAGAACAACTTGTGGATTACCATGCAATCTGGAATCACCAGGATGAGAGAATCTTACTTGTCCACACTGATGGAGAACTGACACTCTCGGTGCCTCTACTACCGTTCAGTAAAACAAAGAAGAGAGGGCAGGGAAACATGGGCGTTCTGGTTTTCAAAGGAGAGCAGCGAACAAAAAGCCCCGCTCTGAGACGGGCCAGGTGGGGCAAAGGTCTTCCCTCAGCTTTAATCCGCAGGGGCTCTGTCTCCAACAGTCATGCTGCCGCTCTGTCCACCACTGTTCCCAGAGGGGGGGCCAGGGGCCCTGCCTCCCCAAGGCTGTTTATAAGGGTTCGGTTCCATTTCCTAGACTGAGCATGTGATGACCACTAACCTTGGAAAAACCTGTTTCGATGGAAAATGTATTAGTTTAATCTATAACATACAATTGTAGAAGTCAATTGGTTGAATTTGTTCCATTTGAACTGTTGATAAATTCACTGGTTTTATGATAATTTGCCCATGACTGGGTATTGGGAATATTCTCTTGTTAGTCCAAAAGCTCTGGACCCTCTGCTTCTAGCTTTCTCCTTGCTAGAAAGGTTTGAAATGGTTGGCGTTAGCAGATTCAAATACGAACATGACGCAAAGCCTCGTTCTCGGCACCAACTAAGCACCACCACTCCGGGCTCTGAGGATGCAGCAGTGAACACGTGGGGAAAGGTTTCCTGCTTCTGCAGACCGGTTGGTTCCCTTGACTTCTGAACCAGTGCTGTCTCCACTACACTATGCAAAGGTGGGGACTCCTTCTAATGTTTTGCAAGTACTTGCCATTACTGAGTATGAATATGCTTACCTCTCCTCCACATTATTTATTCATTTATTCCACAGGTACTTATTGAGCAGCTTCTATTGCAAGGCTCTCTGCTAAGTGCTGGGCATCTTGGTGTGAGTCAGCTCTCCAGGTGCTCTCAGGCTAATGGGAACACAGACCTGGAAACGGATTTCAAAGCAGCATGATAAGTACAACGGTGGGAAAGGAAGGAGTACAGACACACTACACAGCAGCAGGCACTGTGATTAACTCACTCTGGCATGACGTCCAAACTTGGACTTGGTAGGGTAACAGGGGGTTTTCCAGGCAAACCAAGGATGGTGGCAGCAGAAATGGCACAGAAACAAGCAAGACCATGCCTGTCCGGAGAACCACGTGCTGGTATCTGAAGTACAGGTCAGTAGGAGGCAGAACATTGATGGAATCTTTATCTAACAGTCTCTGTTTGCTCTGTGAGTTAAGATAGATTGATGCCTTTTTTTTTTTTTTTGGCACAGGCTGGTAAAAAGTTTGTAGGGAAATTTGAAAGAGCTGCTAAATTTCTTATAAGATAGAAAAGATTGGAAAAACCCTAAAGGTCCATTGATAGGAAACTGTTTTAATAGAGTACAGTCTATGCAATGAAATGCCACACAGCCAGGAAAAAAGATATACATTCATATATACTGATATAAGAAGATCTACAAGATGTATTATTTAGTGAAAAAAGCCAGCTGCATGTAGCTCAGTGGATTGAGCATGGGCCTGTGAACCAAAAGATCACGGTTCAATTCCCCATCAGGGCACATGCCTGGGTTGCAGGCCAGTTCCCAGCAGGGGCCAGTTCCCAGCAGGGGATGCACCAGAAGCAACCATACATTGATATTTCTCTCCCTCTCTCCTTCCCTTCTAAAGATAAATAAATAAAATTAAAAAAAAAAACAAAAACCTACAGGCTTAACGGTCCATTTAAAAAAAAAAAAGCCAGCTGCAGAACTGTGTGTACTAATTTCACTTTGGAGTTAAAGGCAGTAGGAAATAAAAAATCCTTTCTGTCTTTAATTTTTTATTTACTGGTTTTAGAGGGAAGATGCGAGAGGGAGACTTCAATTCATTGCCCCCTCACTGATGCATTCATTGCTTGCACCCTGACTGTGGAATTGAACTTACAACCTTGGCATGTTGCAACAATGCTCTAACCAACTGAGCTACCAGTTGGCCAAAAAATACTTCTTAAATACATAAGATATCTCTGGAAGAAAGCACTAGAAAGTAATAACAACTTTGATTGCCCATAGCAAGAGAAGCTGGACGGCTAGTTACAAGGAGGGGGAAGGTGGATACTTCCTACTTTTGAATTCTGGGTCACAGAAATGTCTTGTGTATTCAAACATGGGTTAAAAGTAAAATTTCCAAAATGTTTTACATAAAATAGAAAGGAACACTTTCAGAGGGCAATGGAAAATTAACTAAATGTTGCTTTGTGGCTGTTCCTCTGGAACCTTGTGCTTCAGCTTAACTTTGTGAAATACGGAGAGGGATATTCATTTTCATTAGCAGTTCCCATTTGGGAAGGGTGAGTTGGTTGACTCTCGGGCATCTCCAGACAAACCTAAGCGAGGCTGCTGGCTTGGACCCCTGAAGCCAGGGTCTCCAATCACGGTCTTTTCAGCAAACCAACGACATTGTTCTGGTTAAACCAAAGCAGCACCTCAGTGAGGATTCCAATTCCTTTATCGTACATGTTGGTGCAGACTGCTGTTGGTACCAAGTGAGTTAAAAGGACCCTAATTAGTACTTAATACATACATAATGACTGTGACCGACTTTCGTACGTGAGTTGTCAAATCACATTTACTATCTCACAGTTGTGCCCTTTTATCTCTAACCAAATACACACAGGCAGGCTCTGGGTATTCGGCAAGGAGCCTGCGAAAGCCCATCTTCCTGCCACGGTGTCAGGCAGTGGTGACATCAGGATGACCGAACACTCGTCAATGGTGTCTGGGATGGCACAGGGCAGTGATGGGGAGAGGCAGCAAGAGAACATTAGAATAAAATGCGGTTCTATCAGGGAGGCACTGTTGGGGACTGCCCTGCCTGGTTTCAGGAGCTGAAACCCCCCATGGCTAAGGCTGAGTAAGGGACCTTCAGACCATAAGCCATTAAGGAGACAAAGCTTATCTCCCTGGAGGAGCACAGCTTCTGCTTCTTTTTCCATAACTGGCCTCTAGTGTTTGACCAGTTAGCCAATGACAGGTAAGATTCCCCAAGGGGGGAGCCACCTAAGACAGGCATGATCACGTGGAGGCCCCAGGGAAGGACTTGGGGGGCTATGGAGAAAGGGGGTGATGGACCCTCACCCCCCCTCCCGCCGCACCCCTCCCCCCTTCCACAAAGCCTGAGTCCTCAGTCTCTCTACGAGAAGTCTCAGAGAATTCCTTGGCTATCTGCCTCCTCTGCCTGACTTAAGCCTGAAACAATGACAGAGGGTGGTGCGGCCTTGTGCTGGGAATGACCGGTTCCCTGGGGTAATCAGGCATAAGAAAGAATTCCTAAAAGTCCTGTGAAACCTGTTTTGCTAAGAGTGCTTTCATTCATAAGATAAGGGTCTGAGCAGGAAAAGAGTATGTCTCCCAAAGTTTCTACAACCCCATTTCCTGACAGACACTGACTCAGACTAAGCCCTCAGATTTCTCTGAAATGTTATGTACTGTTTGATCCTTACTGCCTGTATTCCTGTGTATTACAACGCAATAAAAGCCCCTGGAAGAAGGGGCTCCTGGCCCTTCCCCTTTGAGGGATCGGCCACCTTTCCTCCCCAAGCAGATCATGTCTTGGTAGTGTTACTTTCATCAGTGATGGACGGGGGGGGGGGGGAAGACTTGCGGGCAAAGTTGTCCTTACAAGGCATGAACAGAATTCTGGGGGAGCCTAGAGCAAGGGGTAAGTCTGCCCCGAGGGACTAAGGGAAGAGCTTCCTCGAAGAGAAAATATGCCCCCCAAGTCTTAAATGAGGAGCTGACATTGAGGGAGGATAAGGACTTTCCAGGCAAAGGGAATACAATGTACAAAAGCAGCAAAGCTTAGAATAACACGGTACGTTCATGGGACTCCAGGCAGCTCGGTCTGCCTCCTGTGTCAGGTGCTTTTCAGAGAGTGAGAAGCATCAGGCCAGAAAGGCAGGTTCAGACAGGGCTGCGACATCTCAGGTGCTGGGCCAACACGTTTAGACTTTGCCACGTCAGGAAAATACCGTGGTCTCAGTTGCCGTGCTGAGCGGTCGGGCTTTGCCGTGACCGTCTAACCATTCTGTAAGCAGGGTGCCCTCTGTTGGTTTCTGTAACCTCGTTAGAGGTAGGACAGGATGCGGAAGGCAAACTTTTACACTAAATGTTACCTCTTCATCCTTCCTTTTTACTCTGCTTCCACAGCTAATTAGTTTTCAAGGTCTGTGACTCATCTGTCACAAATTCTCTCTTTGTTTATTCTTAGAGCAACAATTTAGTAAGTACTATTTACCTGCGTCAGGTACTGAGTTTAGGGCTTTATATATACAGTCTATATAACGTCTTATTCAGTCCTCAAAATAGTCCTCTTTTAGTCAGGGTTTTTGGTAGCAAACAGCAGGTAACGTAAACAGAAACGGAATTTACTGGAAAGATACCAGGCCATTCACAGAATCCATAGGAAGGGGGAGGCCTGGGTTCAGGGGCAGCCAACAGAAGGATCGGAGCACAATTTCCTAGGACAGGCCTCTCTATGCCTCTGGATTCTAATCTCCCCTGGGGTGCTTGAAGATTCTCAAACCGACCCCAGTGCCTCTGCATCACTCTCCCCCCTGTGCAGATTATGGTGAGCATCCACTGGCCCTGCTCAGAGCACATGCCTGTGGCCCAGCTGCCAGAGGTTGGCACAGGGACAGCTCTCCCTTGAGGCTTTTCACTTCCACTGGGATTCACTCAAATCAGCAAAGATGTTCAGGTACTAGACAACAAAAATGACAAACATCCACAGTGCATTTTGTAGAAGAAGGAATTGACTCAGAGCAGGTAGAGTAGTTACCCAAGTAACATAGCTACTCAGTGGCAGAGCCAGGCTTGGAGCTTGAGTCCATTTGTCTGCAAAGCCCACGCTGTTACGCAACCCTCTGCGTTGCTTTCTCTAAACCACCCAGCTCTGTTTCACGGCCCACACACCAGTCCTGGCTCCCATCCCCCCGTCTGCATTACTGCCTCCTACCTGGTCACCCTGCTTGCGCTCCCCCATCTCAGTTCATTCTCTGCACGGTTGCTAAGATGATATTTTTCCACTGCATCTACGTTGTGTCAGCCTCTTATTCAAAAACCTGTGACTCACCCCTTCATGAGTATTTCCTGACTAATGTCATTCCATGCTGGACACTCCCTCTGGAATCAGGCAAATAATGTCGCTGCAGTGCCATAACAGATGTCTGATTTATACTCTACTATCTTGTGCATATTAACACTCCCTAGCTATCACATTTATACATGACTTCGCTAAGGTCTGACAGCCTGTTTTCTGCTGCTTTTACAAGTCTGGTGACAGACACTAGCATCTTGCACTGTGAACGGCTTCTCATTTTTGAATCCCAAGGCCCACCAGGGATGACATCACTATCATCAATGTTATTATCTGCAGAGCAGTATTATTTGCTAATTCATTATTCGCTTCCCTGAAATATCCCAGTTGCTTCCTATGTTTCTCTACCACATATACCACGTCCTACCAAGAGTGTGCTTAAAAACTGCTGACAATGATAATCATTTCATCTTTTTGAAAATGTTTCTTTACTCCACCCTCAACCTTCAGATGAATAAAGGTAAAAGTGCTATTCTTTTCCCTGAGCTCTGAGGTGAGAAGAAATAATATTTAGAACATGCCACACCCCTTTCCAGTTAAGAATAATAACAGTACTGGTCAGTGTGGTTCAGTTGGTTGGAGCGTTGTCCCGTAATTGGAAATTTGTTGGTTTGATTCCCGGTTGGGGAACATAGTTAGGTTGGGGGTTCATCGCCCAGTTCAGACATGTATGATCGCCAACCTGGCGTGTACAGAAGGCGACTCGTTGATGTTTCTCTTTCACGTTGGTTTCTTTCTCTCTCTCCCTATCTAAAAGCAGTGAAAAAATATCCTTGGTGAGGAAGAGGAGGGAAGAAGGAGGAGGAGGGCAGGGAGGGGAGGGGAGGTGGAGGGGAGGTGGAGAGGGAGAAGGGGAAGAGAAGCATGGAGCATAACATGCAACCAGGTACTCTGGCTGGCCAGGTTACTACCTTGAGGCTCCAGCAGGAGAACCTCTTGCCTGGTTCCTGAATTGCCTTCCTTTGGCTGAGAGCATCAATTAGCAATTAATAATACCCTGGACCCTCAAAGACCTCTAGATTCCTCCCAATCCAGACCAAGATACCCAAGAACCTGAGTGACATAGGTGTTCCACCTCCAATCTGCCTCTGCTCAGTTACTTTTTTGGAGGATATGTACCTTTTTTTGAGTTTATGACATCAAAGGAGGTCACACCCACACACAAGGAAGATGACTTGTGATCAGTACTTCCAGAATTTATTTACAGAATAAAACTCAGAATTTATTTTAAGGATACTCCTATATGCCCCGAACATTTCATAGGTGTCAAGAGTAATGATAAAAAAAAAAAATCAGGTTCTTGTCCTCAAGGAGTTAACCTTTTAACTGGGGGAGACAAATCTATTAAATAAATAACTGATGAACAGTCAAGTAAGGCAATAAATTAAGTCTGTACTGGGTACATGAATGGCAAATGGACAGGAGCAATCTACTATGTTTGGGACGAGGGATCCCCAAAAACCTTACAGAGGATGAAGTGCCTGAGTGGGGGTTTTGTCGGATTTGCTGTCAAAAGTAAAAGTTTGTCAGACGGTTGAAGTGGGGAAGGACATTCCAGAAAGAGAAGTGAGGTGTACTATGGAATGAAAGGAAGGCACTTAGAACATGCCATTTCCAAGCCTCACAACAACCTCCCAAGGTAGGTGTTATTATTCTCCACTTGCTAGATGGGGAAGCCGAGGCTTTGAGAAATGGAATCCTTTGTTCTACCTCCCAAAGTTGGAAAATACCTCAATCCCCTGGTTGGCTTGTATCTGCCTGATACGCCGATGTTGCACGTTTGATCCCTGGCCAGGGCACACAAGAATCAACCAATGAATGCATAAATAAGTGGAACATCAAATGAATGTTCCTCTCTCTCCTTTCCTCTCTCTCAAATCAGTAATGATGATGATGATGATAATAAAAGACAGGAGGTGGTGAAGAGCTATACTGTGCTTTGAGAGAGGATCTTTGTAGCAAACTGCCTGGCCACCAAAAACCTGTCTTAGAAATGCATTCCCACAAGGCATGTCCCGTTTTTTGCCCAGCTCTAACATATTGGTTTTTTTTGTTTTGTTTTTTTACCTCCAGAGACCTTGTCAGTCCAATCACACCACATAGTCCATGACTGCTCCTTGGCCAGCTTGTTAAATCTTGGATGGCTCTGTGGGGTTATCACATAATGAGGGAAGTCAAGTGCCAGGCCTGCACCCGGAACCTAACATTCATTGAGTAATCAATAAGTCTCTCCATTGACTCTGAAGTAAGCTAGAAAGGCTAGAGTGTTGAGGAATGGAAAGAAGTCAGGACCAGGAGCAGGGGGGCCTGGGTTCAAGTTTGGGGGAGTACGGCCAGGAACTTAACCATCTAAGAAAATGGGGAGGTCGACACCACGTATGTAGTGTCCCTAAACTCCCTCAAAGACACTTGTACGAGAGACTCTTTTCATTTCCCAGCCCTGGAATCTCACCATTATCAGCAGTGGCCCGAACCAAGGTCACAGGACAGCTTGTTGATTCAGGGCTGCCCCTAAGTTACCTGCATTTAGAGGTCAGTCCTGGCCGTTGCTCGGCCAATAGCTAGGGAAGCTACCGAGGTCATTCAAGGACAAGGGAGAGAAGGCTCCCAGAAACTACAACTCCCAAGAGAACACGAATGTCATTCGGTGGCAGGACCTGGTGCAAGTTGTGAGGGGTAAGCCACCACCCCGCCGCACTCCCCTGTTACGACCTCCAGAACAGGTAACCTGTGCGCATGCCCAGTTACGTCCCAAAGAGTTTGGCTTCTTTCCTTTCTGCTGGTTTCTTCCCTTTCCGGCCTCGCCCCAGCGAGCTTTTCCCCGCCCTACCCTCCGCCTTCTTTTCAAGGCTTTGGACGGGGGCCGAGATCTCTGGCAAGCGCGTTCCTGGGGGTGCGGACCAGCGCGTTCACGGGAGATTCAAAGGGGAGGGGACTAAACACTGGGTGTGGATGGTGGCCAGGATGGGAGGAAACTGCAGAGAGGGGAAGGCGCATGCGTTCTAAGGAAGACGCAGCAAGCGTTTGTGAATTGCAGAGGGGCGGGGCAGAAATTGGCAACTGGTAGACGCACGCGCATTGAGCCGGCGTCGCTCCGCCCGCTTTGAGGTTTCACTCCTCCCTCACCGCCCTTCCGGAAGTGCAGCCTTCCACCCCGGCGCCGACCAGCGGCCACCCCCTGCGGCAAGCCCCGCCCCTACAGACTCCGCCCCCTGGCTCTCCGCCCCCTCCGCTGGTTGTGGCGCTGGGTTGCAGCGCCGGTCGTGGCGGTTTCTGTACCCGAAACCGGGATCGTGGAGTCGTTCCCCGGGGCGGCGGCCAGGCTATGATCGCGGGTCCCCGGCCTCCCTCTCGGGTCATCCAGAGTCCTTGTCTCAGCGTGTGCCTGTGGCCGAGCGGTCTCCTTCACCCGGTCCCACTGCACAGTTGGCAGCGGCGCTCCCGGCGCGCCCCCTCCTCCGATGGCGGCGGAGATCCAGCCCAAACCGCTGACCCGCAAGCCGATCCTGCTGCAGCGGGTCGAGGGGTCCCAGGAGGTGGTGAATATGGCCGTGATCGTTCCCAAGGAGGAGGGCGTGATCAGCGTCTCGGAGGACAGGTACGGATCGCTGCCCCTGGGCAGAAAGGAGGGGCGAGCCGGGACTGCTGTCCCCAACCTGCGTCAGGGGCTGTGCCTCAACGTCCGCACAGGTGTGGACGTGCTCCCTCAAGTTTTTATCATACTACGCATCCTGGTGGTGCCGGTGTCCAGATGCATGCCTCCGCCCCTGTGTGGCTCCGGGAAGCTGAGCTCGGACAGCGGCCGGTGAGCTCTAGGGCTCCCTTGGGGCTGGGTGACGCCTGCAGGCGCCACGGTGGCCCTTGCGCTAACGGTATGCCGGCCACTGGACCTGGATCCAGCCTTGGGAGGCTGGAGGGGGAGAAGGAGCCGCCGGACCCTGCAGGTGTGTGTTTGGGGAGGATGCCCCGAGCTGCCTCTGCGGAAAGAATGGAGTACCGTGGGACAGTTCTTAGGGTTCCAAGCTGAGAAAGCAAATGCCACTCTCTTCTCCCAGACATTCCCACCGAATCCAGATCTGCGAGACAGCTTACACTGAATTCAATGAATATTGCAAGTTGTGAAGAGGAACTTCAGGCTTCTGTCCGAAGGAGAGGTGCCCTCTCCTTTGCCTTCTTTTTCTTTTCTATTCGAGCTCAAAGGGAAGCGCCTAGAACAACTAGCAAGGGGTCACTGCTGCAAATAGCTCTTGAGTTTCTTTCCTCTGCTTGCTTCCTTTCTTTTTGCTTTAGTTTTGCTTAATTTGCAGAAGTGAAGCCAGTTGTTCTGCCTTCAGTGTTCTCTCTTATTTTTCAGACGAAAGCGCTTTTGATTTAATTTCGTTTCCGTTAATATGCAGAAATTAGGCTGACAAAGCTGATGATCATATGAATGCTGCTTGAATATAGTAGTTAGGGTGTTTTCTGGAATTGTTGCTTTGATAATATGAGCTAGTGTTCTGAAAAATGCAACACAGTAGAGGTATATGACAGAGGCTTTAACCTTAAAACAGTAGTTAGGTTTTCTTACTGTAAATTCAAATTATGCGGAGGTACAGAATATATTCTCTCTGTGACTCCACAAACTGTAGGCAGAGGTGAAGAAACAAAGTGTTCATTACTATCTTTATAGTCATTTCAGCACTTTCCATACAATGTAGCCTCAGAAAATTTTCCTGATAGGTCTATTCATATCATAGGTTCTTCGCCATAACTAGGATGAGTATAGACTCCATACAAATGGCCAGATTTATTACCTGTTCAGATCCAATAGAAAAGATTATAAACATGCACCAATGGCAAGCAGTGTGCAATAAACAAAAGAAATTCATGGCTGAAATGGAATATATGGATGTAGAAACCGTTTGAAATTCACAAAGAAGTCTTATGAGCATTTAGTTTTTCAATGGAGGCAAAATTCTGTGAAAGAGATTGCTTCTGGACCTAGAGAGTCATTTGTCACAGAATTGTTTTGTTAGACGTCATTTCTTTCCAGCCTGTAAAACTGCTAGTGATGAAACTGCTCAATCTAACTGCTGTTAGGAAATTCATAAGTTGGTTGAATCAAATAAAAAGGTGAAGGGTAGTTAAATCTAAGTTTCTTTAATATGTGTTTCAAAACTTTCTGTTTTGGTTGATATATTGGGAGTAGAGCTAGGCTTTTATAGTCCTTTTTAAGTTCAGAGGGATCTTAGGGGTTATTTGCTCTAACAGCTTATTTTACAGATGAGAAAATTTAGGCCAGAGAATTTTCCTGCTCAAATTCCTAAAGCTGGTGGTGGAGCCAGGCCCAGCTCCTACGTCATTATCCCCATATCAGTGGGTTATCTTGGAGAAAATAGCTTTCATAGGGTTCATTTCAAACTATTTGGAGAAGCTAAAGTAGCTTATATGAAAGCAACTGAAAGATAAATTTCATTTGATTACAGAACCAAAGATTTTTAGCTATATATTATCTTAATTTATAAGATAATAAAAACAGATAGGTCCCTTAATTTAGCTATATCTTATCTTAATCACCGTGTGATTTTTAGCTATATATTATCTTAATTTTCACTTTCCTAGTTTACAGTGTAAATAACATAATTTATATGACAGAGTTCCTGTTAATTAAGGCTCACCTGTATGTCCAGGATTATTCTCTACATATGTTTTAGTATTATTCAGATCCACCAGTCTCTGTTTCTGTAGTCACACATGAAAATAACTTTGTTATTTAAGAGCTCAGTTTCGATTATGGTCTTCATTAAAAGGAGAATTGATCTGTATTCTTGCTTTGCAAAACCCAATGTCACTGTCACTAAAGCTATGAAGATAGAATATTGATTTTCATCTATACCTACAAAGCTATTTCCACTAATTGCTTCAGCTGGCCACTGGTAGTCTTCATTCCTGCGCTGTAAGATGACTCCACAGATAATGTCTCCTTTCTGAGTGGCCGTGTCCCATAAGTTCTTTTGAAACCCTGGTTTCCCTTTTTGACCTCTGGCCCCAGTAGCCTTTATGTTTATCTATACCTTCAAAAACATTTAACATTTCTGCTTTAAACAGTGTTATAGGTACTTGTCCATTTGTCTCCTTTTCCGTAAGTTCCCTAAGGTGCTATGTGTATACCCCCCTTTTTTTTTTGAAGAAAACTTAATTCTTTAATAATCGATGCTAGAAAAACCAGTTAGTCATTTAGATTAAAAATAAAATAAAATAAAGCTAGGTATCATCTTTAATTCTTAATTTATGTTCCAGATAGTGCCATACTTAAAGGTAAAAACTAAACTCATAAAAACACTAGAAGAAAACATGGGTTACTTGTACAATGAGTCATGGAGATCTTCCTAAGTTTCGGAAAAAAACACAGAAATCATAAAAAAAATTAGGTAAATTTGACCTCTTAAAATTTTTACTTTAAACTTGACTAAAAAATTTCAAACTTTTGTGGGAAAACCCCCTCAGCTAAAGTCAAAAGGTAAATGACAAAGCGAGGGAACACGATTACAGCACGTGTGATAAGGACTGGTTCCCTTTGTCTCACACGTTAATAAAATGTAGGATAGCTCATAGAAAAGAAAGAAAAATGACTGGTAAACTTACCTAATGTTAATTAACGAAGAGCAAATTAAATCAGCAAGGAAATACCATGGTTCGCCTATCAGATTGGCAAACACTTTTTCTAGCTGAATTTGTTGGGGTGATAGGTACGTCTTACTCGTTGTGTACCTTTGAGTACACATTGGGCCCAGCATACTGTTTGGCCCCCGAAGGCCCTCAGTGAACATTCACTGTACCAGGGACCTATCTGTTTTCGTTCTTCCTGAAAGCCCGGCATCCTAACTCCTGGAGACATTTGATGGGCATTTGTTGTATGAATTACACGACTGCCTGGAAAGCACCATGTGGATGGATGGATACCCTTGTGGGGAAAGGATCAGGGTCGGTGGCCTTAAAACTTTGGAACCCATGCATTAGTTCATTCATTACATCAGCAAACCCTTGGGTTTCTACCATGTTTCCAGTGCATGTGCACACAGCATTGGTGAAAGTGACAAGGTTCTTTCGGGAAATTTTAGAAGGTAATAAGACCACAGAGCATTTTCGGATGTGGAAGAGAGGCAGGATGCTACAGTTTTTGCTGTCCCTTACATTTTTACCTTCATGAAGAGGGCTTTCGGTAGTGGGCAGATAATATTCTAACCTGAGGCTCAAGAGTGAATGGAACCGCACCCCAAGTCCATCTTAGGACACTTAAAGCAGCCCGGAACTTTCCTGGATACCAGTGGAGGAAGTGTAAGAAATATAAAACAATCTGACTTAATGAAGGCCTAGATTTTTGTTGCTGTCATTAAGCAGAGCTTGCCCCCAGAACTCACTGGCCTCATCAGAGGGTCTCTGCTTCTGTTGCCGCTGGGCTCCTTCTCCAAAGGACAAACCCATGGGCGGTACTTCGGGTTCCTCATTTTCCGGCTTCTTTCTGGACCGTCTGCTCTGAAAGAACGCCATTTTAACGTTTCGTGCCTAGGAGCTTCTTCGTCCCTGACGTCTTGACTCAATTTTGGTTGAGACTGATACCTTGTCTGCAGCTCACCAGGGGCTCCTTTGTCCAGTGGCAACTCCTTCTCAAGCATTGAAGGCCCAGCCCCATCCAGACCTTTATCTTTGTAAATTCTTTATAGACACATCTTAACACAATCTGAATATTCATACAGAAAGTGTCAGTAACTCTAGTCAGTATGAGGCAACTACAGGGAATTGTTCCTTCTCTAGGAGTCTGTTCCTTGCCATCGGTAAAGGGGGGTTTTATCTCAATAAGGAGAAGTGCTGAATGAAAACAGGTATGAACAATGTCCTCTGGGGTTGTGGAGGAATCTCCCCTGTTCGTGGTGGTTAGAGGAAAGGAGCGCTGCTCCACTGGGTGTTGCAGGATGAATAGGAGTTCATGTGGAAAAGCTAGAGTAGAGGGAAAGGCATCCTGGCGAGAGGAGGAAGAGACAACTCCATTTGGTTACAGGCACTGGAATGGACTGGTTAAGAGTGTATACTGAGGAGCCAGTCGGCCTTAACTGAGAATCCAGTTCGGTGGACCACACTTTGAAGGGTCTGGAAAATGCGTGTCTCCAGGCAGAACTTCTGGGTGCAATAATTTGGACTCCTTTTTTGGATAAAAGGCCTGAGGATGTGGTGGGTGGTGGGGGAGGAGGCAGTGGAGGGGGGAGGCGTCTCTGGGGAACTGCCGCAGTATATTCTGACTGTATTCAGGACCAGTTTATGCAATTGAGCCATACTCTGTAAGCCTTGAAGGCAGGCAGAACCTGCAGGAAAAAGGGAGTCAGATTTTTTACCTTGGACGAAGTGCTCTGGTCTGATCCGAGTGCTTAGCACAAAGGAGATAGGCAGGAGCTGCCCACTGAAGAAAATGTAACTCTGGCTGATGAATCGTCTGTTTGGAATGGCATGGTCCAAGGGGGTCATGGGTTTTCAAGAGCAAAGAAATTTAAGCTGAGCCAGAGGGGAGTTTGGCATTTTTCTTCAGGCCAGGGTAGCATTACAGAAGGGCAGGGGGGCAGGAAA